GCGTGATAGACGCGAGAATGGAAGGATGGGGTGTGTCGATGTTTCAAATTGCGCGCTAGGGACGTAATCCGCAGAAAGATTGCAGGCTTGTTGTTCGTTCTATCAATTTCGAAATCTTGATTCTACGTTGTTTATATAGGTGATATCTGTCACGATTATATTAACGGATGAGCGCTTACTTTCTTAAATTCTCAGGTTATCCCCATCAATTATATTAATAGGATTATATTATACTTTTATTATTTAACCGGGAATAGTCATTTGAGATATTTTTATACCTTAATGGCAAAAAATGTGAAAATTGTTGATAAATATTGTTTTGTGTGTATTTTTGAGGTTTTCACGGGTGTTTTCTTCAGGGGTGCCAAAGGATTTATGGATTATCGCCGTGTCGTGATCCATTGTTAATGTCTAATTAATAATTGTTTAACATATTTTTTTCTTTTTTAATAATTATTTTTCATGAACTTTTAAAATATGCAATTTCATCTCAAACTTACAATAAAAAGAGTAATATTAATTAAACTCTTCTTTACTTTTAAGAAATATTATCAGTCTGTCATAATAAGCTATAATACTTAACATATTTATCTCGTTTAACGCTAAAACCGTGGGTCTAAATTAACCCAATCACGGTTTAAGGTAAATTTGGCTTTTTACGGGGAACGGTTGTCACCATAAAAGCAAAATTACTTGTAATTAATTATGATTATTTGTGAGAAGTCATAAAAAAATCTAAAGCTCCACGTGCAAATTAAAATTAACTGGAAAAGAAAAATACTACTATTAGATGGATAAAAAAAATGGCACAGCCGCAGTTTTAATGTTTGGTTTCTGCTTATTTTTTCAGAAAATTGTAATTAAATCCATATATATATATATATATATATATATCTATTCTTAAATACTAATAAATCGGAAAACTATCAATAATATATAATATAATAACAAACAAATTAATTACAAAGGAGGAATTCTATTATTGTATTATTATTATAATATATTACAATATGTTAATAATAATGATTGTAATTGGAATATAAAGATATCCCGGGTGATCGTTTACATAAAAAAGCCAGGTGACTAAATCCCGGATTAAAGTGCGATATTGCTCTATCCGAATCAATAATGCGATAATTTATAGAAGTTATCATAGTTACGATGACTTTTAATGACACATTGAAAAAAATTCACGTAATTTTACATGAAAATTACATGTTTATGACTGGAAAATTATTTAAATATGATTGGAAATTTACTAGAAATTTAAATTTCCAATCATATTTAAGTAATTTTCCAGTCATAAACATGTAATTTCCATGTAAAATTATATGAATTTTTCAGTGCATCTATAATAATAAGAACTTTCTAAATATTATATATCGCAATGATTATTGTATATATATATATATATATGTATATATATTCTGTTCCATTTCTGCAAAGTAACTTTCTTAATGCGATTTAATTCTTTTTAAACAAGTCACGATGATTCAATCGTTTAACAAGTTTCTAGATTTTGTTCTCTTTAATCTTAAGGCAAGTATAGTGGAGCTTGTAAAATTCCCAGTGGTAATTTCTTTTATCTCGCAAAGTAAATTCCCGGGATTGATAAAAGCTGGTCGGCAGTCCAATTTTGATAATTAACATGCGATTCACTTGTACGGTATTTACTTAACAATCGCTGGTTTGTAATGCCTGCTGGACGTATTCTGTTCGTAAACACCGTACTTTTGCCAGAATGCTCGATGCATTTCAACAAGTCTAAACTGATCTCCTTGTGCTTTTCGCATTTTGTTCGTATCTTTTTCCTGCATCCTCTTTTGCCTATCTGCTTTTTATCTACTTTCATTCTTGTGTAATGCGCCATTTCCCTTTTGCATTCATGCTATTCCCTTTTCATACATATACTATTCTATTATTTTGGAAACATTCAAATGTACTTGATAATATCATAATTGAATTTTACTCCGCAAAAAGTTCTTTCCGGTTTACTTAGCATGAAAATCAGACATTGATGAAACTTTTCATTCGCGAGATTTGCTTTTCCCTGCGTTCAAGAGAGAGTCGTAACTTTTTTTAGATAATGACAAAATTACAAATTCA